TATTTTTTAGGATAGAAACAAAAGCTGAATTTCCGCGTTCTAGCACATATAGGCCGCCATCTCGTTTACCGGTTGCCACCACTCTTCCCGTGTGGCGATTCTGAATGGTGAAAAGAATATCAGGAAAGGTAACGTTAACTGGAAAATCACTCGTTAATTTACTAATAGACAAAAGATTTTTAGTAATGCGCGGGACAACAAGAACATCCAAGAGTTGAAAATCAGGGGAATGGGATATTTTACCGGTATGGGTAATGGGTAAAGATGCACCATTTCCGACAATTACACAATCCTTACCAGTATAAGAAGTGGGCTGATCCAAGAATGATTTTGTTGGGGTCATATGAGCCGAGGCCCCCGTGTCTAGATACCAATCTGAGGCCTCATTTTCGGAGATGGAACACGTTGCTTTGAATGCTTCTGCAAGTTGAGCCTGAGGAGTCTGACTGTGGCGTTCATATCTTTGTCTACATCGATCTGCATAATGACGATCCATGCGGCAGATTTGACAACGTGTGATTCTTTTACCAGTGGAACCTCCGTATCCACGTCCATTTCCTCGATTCGATTGGTAGCGAGAATTGGAGCCTCGCTGATTATATTTTGTAGGCTGGCGATTGGTGGCTATAAACGCTGCAGATGTCGGTGCAATCGACTCCAATGATTTTTGGAAGAGTTCAAAACTCTCGGCTTTTGGGACAAGATCCATGAAAGTCGGCAAGGAGGGAAGGGACATTTGGGTAGTGGAGAAACTCGAGAATTCCGAGCCAAGACCGCGGAGAAACCAATGCACTTTATCTGTGCCATCAACTGGTCGTCCGATTGCATGGAGTTGATCGCAAAGGGCCTTGAAGGAGCGGGCATACTCCGAAACAGATTTCGAGCCTCGTTTCAGCAGTTGTAAGTCATCCTTGAGGCGAATTTCACGGGCTTTTGATCGGTGACTAAAAGTATTTTCCAAGGCAAGCCACACTTCACGGGAAGTGGAGAGTCCAACAACTTCAGCCATGGCCTCCTCGGTAAGAGAGGATATGAGAAGGCTAAGAAGACGTTGATCAGTTTGTTTCCATGCCACATATGTGGGGTTTGGTGTTTGCGAATTATCAGCAGCAAGACGGGAAAGGATTTGTGTAGTGCCATCGACATAGCCAATTAATTCTTGGCTTTCTAAGAGTGGAAGCAACTGACTTTTCCATAAGAGATAGTTGGAAGAAGATAATTTGATTGTTATCATATGGACAAGTGTATTGAAGGGCAGAAGGGTGGAGGAAGATTGGGTAGTCATCGAGAAAAAAAATTAGGGAAAGAAGATTAAGAAACCTAGTCTCTTGATACCATGAGAGAGTTTGAGAAAACCACCACACCTTTTGTGGTGAATATAATCCGTATATATATATTCATAATTACATACAAGTATGGTAATTACAATTATGAGAGAATCAATTAAATTAAATATATAGCTACAATTGAGGGTCAAATATGATATAAATAAAAAACCTTAAACTAAGGCAGATGACTTGGAGCATGATTCTTGGTAGGCTGAGAATCAGGAGGTTGATCCTTCACAAAAACAATCTGGAAGGATGTGGTATAACCGTCTTAGTGATTATCTTGTTAAGGAAGGATATATCAATAATCCTATTTGTCCATGTATTTTCATCAAAAAATCCGAGAATGGATTTGCCATTATTGCGGTATATGAAGATAATTTAAATCTTGTCGGGACTCCCGAAGAGCTTACAAAAACCGCAAATTATTCGATGAAAAAATTTGAAATGAAAAACCTTGGACAAACAAAATTTTGTCTCGGCCTACTGATCGAGTATTTGTCGAATGGAATCTTTCTACATCAATCAACGTATACGGAAAAGATTCTCAAATGATTTTATATGGATAAAGCTCTTCCATTAAGTAGCCCTATGGTTGTCCGGTCATTGGATGTAAAGAAAGATCCATTTCGTCCTCGAGAAGAAAATGAGGAATTATTAGGACCGAAAGTACCTTATCTAAGTGCTATCGGTGCATTAATGTATCTTGCTTATTGCACAAGGCCCGATATAGCATTTTCTGTGAACTTATTGGTAAGGTACAACTCTTGTCTCTTCACCAACACAAAGACATTGGAATGGTGTAAAACATATTTTTCGTTACCTTCTAGGAACAACCAATATGGCCTTATTTTACTCAAAAGGTTCAGAATCGCATGTAATGGGTTATGCTGATGCATGTTATCTTTCTGATCCACATAAAAGTAGATCTCAAAGTGGATATGTATTTACTTGCGGCGATGCTGCTATATCATGGCGTTCAGTGAAGCAAACATTAACAACCACTTCATCTTATCATTCTGGAATTTTGGCACTACATGAAGCAAGTCGTGAATGCATATGGCTGAGATCTATGGTTCATCATATTCGAGAGACGTGTGGATTATCTTCATTAAGGAATTCACCAACTTTATTGTATGAAGACAACGCGGCTTGTATTGCTCAAATCAAGAATGGTTATATTGAAGGAGATCGAACAAAACACATATCGCCAAAGTTCTTCTATACCCACGAACTACAGAAAAATGGTGAAATAGAAGTTTGTCAGATTCAATCAAGTAATAACCTTGCTGATTTATTCACTAAAGCTTTGCCGGCTACAACATTCAACAAGATGATCTACAACATTGAAATGCGTCGGCTTAACGATCTATTGCCAGTATCAGGGGGAGTGTGATTAATAACCCAACACTGTACTCTTTTTCCTTCCACCATGTTTTTATCCCAATGGGTTTTTCTTGGCAAGGTTTTAACGAGGCAGTGTATCACACTCTCAATAGTCATAGACATCAAAGGGGGAGTATTATGTAACCTATGGTGGATGTCTATAGGATTTATAAAATCAATAGTGTGTGTAATTAGAGGTGATAATGGTGGATGTTAAGGCCATTCATTCCCTTGTAACTCATGACCTTTTAAATGGTTTTCTTGTACTATAAAATGGACACTATTGTATGGAGTTGAGACACACTCGAATAAGAATACAATAAATACACACTTGCTCTCTTCTTTCCCTTGTTTTATAATATAAATTATATTTTAAAGTTATGATAAAATTTTATTTGTAATAAAATGAGCAAAAAATGCATTGTAAAAAATTAGAATGCAAATAGTTTTTGGGAATGACATAAGGGGAACTATGTTCATAAGAAAAACCCTTTTTGAACTCTCGGGAATTAAACGAGCATCTATGATAGCAATTTGAGGTGATTCTTATTAGTTTACGTAATTTTAACGTCGTACTTTAATTTAGTTAATACAGTGGGTCAATTATACTATGTTTCTTGGTTGATTCGGTCGAACCGGAAAAATAAAATTGATGTTGTTTCGCACTTGGGAGCACAAAATGGATGAATCAATTCCGTGCCACTAAGCATGAAGTGGTGTTTTGTAGGGTTTTCTTTTTCAATTTGTGAAATTTTCAAAAATTGAATAATTTCGTAGAAATTCCTTTAACGTCAATCCATGACAACGATTTGTCGTAATTAAAAGAGCATCTACGGCAACTATTTAGGGTAATTATTATTTGTTTACGTAATTTTAACGTTGTATTGTTATTTAGTTTACAATATTTCTTTTTATCGTCCAACAATATTTCTTGTACATATCTTTTCCACGTCAAATACTAACTATTTTCCCTTTTGAACTGAGTTATCAAACGATGGCAATGATTGATTGTAGTGTCTTTCGCCCACTTGATTAATGTATCCCCACTATTGAAACATGATATCAACTTGAAAGAAGTGACTGTAATCTAAGATTGATTGCTGTTTTTTTTTTTTTTTGCTGCATCAATGAAAGATAAATTACATACAAACACATCGGAATTTTTTTTAAGTGATTTCGTGTAGATTTACAGAGAAATGGAAAAAAAAAAAAAAAAAAAGTACAATATTTCTTTTCTATTTCATGTAGGGTTACATGAAATGCAACATTGGATTTCGTGTAACCTTACACGAAATAGGAAAAAAAAACATATATGTTATTCATTTCGTGCAGGGGATACACACGAATGCAACATTGGATTTCGTGTAACCTTACACGAAAAAAGAAAAAGAAACATATATGTTATTCATTTCGTGTAGGGATACACGAAAGGCAGTGTTGCATTTTGTGTGTAGAAACACGGAATGAATAATAAATATTGAAATGCGATAAAAACATACACTTTTTACCTAAGAATCGGAAATTGTTTCGGTAAGATTATTAATGATGGGTTCTAAATGATATTATCGGAAAAAAAGTTCACGATTTGTAAAGTATTAAAATTTGAAGATAGAGATAATTTCGAAAATGTGACATGGTTTCTCAAAAATGAAGAATTTTGAAAAGGTGGCAACGTTTTCTCAATATCTACCTTCACCCTGTTAACATCTACGTGAGCACCCGAATTCGTTTAACAAAGGAGAACGAAATAGACCGAACACAATCAACACATAACAAACAATCTTCAACTAGAACATCGAAAGATGAAATCATTTGTTTACTATAACAGTCAAATCATGTCTCTAGTAAGTAAGTGTGGAGTTTGTTTAGCTTCAACACAACAAACTAATCATTTGGAGCCAATCTAGAGCGACAATTCCTTATAAGAATCGTAAAGAATTGGATCATTTAATCCTCAATGTCGAATGAATCTCCCTCGTTTGGATGGTTTAAACTCACATCATGTTCATGAATCCTCCATTATTAACTCGTATCTTATCTCATTAATTCAAATTCATCTTTTCTTATATCATGTCTTTACAGGATGAAGGAAGCGAATCATGGATGCAATGGAAATGCATGCAGCGTTTGATCAAGTACGGATGAACTTTTGCAATAGGGAAGCAAATGGACCCATGTACTTCCCTTAAGATCCCGAATGTTTTGTGTACTTCTGGATTTTGTCCAAACAGTTTGCTTCCTTTTTTTGTCTAATCATCTTAATATTGTTTTTAAACGATGTAATAATGCTAATCCATCAATACGAACTCTATCACTTTAAATTAATTTTAACAGCTGTTTTTTTTTAAGTTAACAAAACCAAAACCCAAAAAAAAAAAAAAGCTAAATAAGTGAACCTATACGATATAAAGAGGGGCTAAACACAAGTAGTATAATGTTCGGGGACAAGAAAAAAAAAATTAGGCCGCACCAGAGAGAGTATTGCACAGTGATTTGTATGCATTGACACAATCCTTGAATTTCTCTTCAGCATCACCCTGCAAAATTTCACATTATATATGAATGTATGCCCGACGAAATACACAAATTTCTAATACCAAATTCAGCTCATATTAAAAGTACTACAATCAAATATTGATGGCTCTGACTGAGCAAAAATATGCCAATTCAAGTGAAATAAGTCAATAACACGGTTTTCTTGTAACTACAACTCAGATAGATGTACGCACAAAACGTAAGCCAAATGAAACAGAAATTGAAGGAATCCTAGAACCATGGTTCACAGCAAACTCAAATACCAATTTAGAACCATGGTTCACTACTTAGACACGTGACGACATAAATGACATTTAATTAGGAAAAAGGGAAAAGGGGCAGAACTACCTTAGAAGAACCTTGGTGCTTGTCAGGATGCCACTTCAAAGCTGACACACGAAAGCTGTATGAAAGACAATTATCATTATCGTAGAATTATAAAACCTCGTAAGAAAACATTGACCAGTTAGTAAAAATAAATCAAGAGATGAAAGTACTTACGCAGCCTTGACATCTTCAATTTCTAAAGGACCAGTTGTCGATAAACCGAGGATTTTCCTATCAGCATATGTTCCTACTGTGAAAGACTTATCACCAGATTCCGTACTACTTTTACTTCCATGTTTACCAAATCGACCTTTATTCTGTTCATAAAATTCTTTCCAGTCAAATCCTATTTCCGAGGCTCTGAAGGTTCTATTCACAAATGCTCTATCAGGGTTGTCATCATAATCTGCAGACAAATTATCTTTCCGATGTTTACCTGAAATTGTGCGACAGGGGAAAAATTCAGAGGATAATCGAGGTAAACTAGTCATAATACAAAATTTGACAAGTTTCTTATTCAATAATCCCATGAGTATGAAGCAGATGTAAAATTGACAGTTCTGCCTTTATTTTGGATTCTAAAAAATAAACAAGGACGATGAGGACAACAATTATGAAGCGAAAAAAAAAAAGTTAACTCTAACGACTTTAGAATTTTATGAGAATGTACTTGTCTTTAAGTTGCATTGGTCTGTTCTTGGTGGTAAGTGTATGATTTCATATGCAAGTTATAAAATTCAATACTGACAAGCCTTAAAACACAATTGTTATGCTTCAATTGCTTTCTTTTGCTGACAGGTTTATGATTCATATATAAGAAGCCTTGCAAATGATACATATTGTTTCGGAGACTATATGAATTAATGAAGTATCTCATCTTTCTGTACATTTTGAATGTAAATCTTTATAAATGTCATTTGAATAACCAGAGACACTGCTACAAACATATTTGGAGTCAATTCAGTACTGTTTTTGAAAGAAACTTACGTTTCATTTTCTTGTGATAAGCTCTCCTAGCTTGACCGATTATTCGAGATTTCTTGTTTAGTTGATCAGTGTAGTCGTCACCTATTCTTGGAAATGACTGTAAGTAGAAAATGAAGGGCGTAAACCATCATCTATCAACAATCCAACATAACAAAGGGCGAGAAGAATAAAATTGAAAGCGATATTTAACAAAACGATGATTGATTATGGAAAACATGAAAGCTAACGAACTGAATAAAAATATTTAATTAAGATCTGCACAAGCATGATGTTATGTGGAAATTAAAAAAGCGTATCAAGAAAAAGAACATGTGCTAATCAAAATCAATTAGTAACTAATATACTCATACTCGTGTCTAATGCCAAAATATGATTAATTACTCGTGACATAGCACAAAAATATGATCAGATAACTTCCAATGTCTTGGCCAATTGTTCTGAAAAAGAAAAAAAAAAAGAACTCTTGATATTCTTCAATTACTTGACATAATTATCATAATGCCTGTATGATGGGTGAAATCTATTAGAAATACGCTTTAGCCTCTTTTGATTGGTAAGATACGCCATGATTAATTAAACAGTTAGGTCTTATTTGATGTTTGGTTAGTGTAGTAACTTTTCGGTCGACGCACAATATCGAAAAAGAGCTCTACTTAGCTAAGCCATGATTAATCATATTGGAAAAAAATTCCATGACGAAAACATACATATTACTCATATAGATTTGAGACACATATGTCTATAGTTACATGTTTGTACAGAAACAGCAAATAAAATACTAAATGATGGGCCCACGTGTCCAAATATATATGATAAATGCTGACCTCAGCTGTTGACGTTGAGCACCCCCCATTGGACAGTATGGTATTAAGAGCTCTTTTCGTGTCAGAACGCTTCTCTCGTACCGCAAATCGTATATGGTTCTGTATAAATTTTCTCAATGTCAGAAAAGTTACTGATTAGTTGGACCAGGAATGAAATATATAGAGCTTCTTGTTATTTATTAACAATTTAAAACTATGTATATAAGAGATAGGGTCCAAACAAGAAAATAATAATAATTAATAAACTACTGCATAGAAAAAATTAGTAGCTTCCATACCTTTGGTGTTTGCTGATTTCTTTTAACCTCCTGCAGCATATATTAATTGTTAAACCACAACATCTCAAAACAAGCATATAAACAGCCAAAAATACAACTACCAAATACTCTTGCAGCAAGTACAAACCAAATGTTGTCATAACATAGTTTGATAAGACCAATGATCTGTCTCAGATATTATACAACAAAAACTGAACCATATTTTTACTATTTTCGCTGTACACTGGATACTTCTTGCGTGCTCTAATTTTCCAAGCAACATAATATTTTTGGAATATATTAACGGCATATAGTAATACGAAAAGACGATACAAACATTTGCGAAACATATCATATTTATACAAATAGAAACATAATAAAGAGGCGATCGGCTACTACATGGCTACACCTCCCATGTGTTTAAACTACCATATTTGAAGATTATACAACCAGAATTAACAAAGTAACAATGAGAACTTTTGCCATCTAAACTATAACGAAAGGTACCTTGTTAGTAAAACAAATATTTGGAAGATTTTTGCCACACTGTTCTTGCAAGCCAAAGACCAATGAAAATTCTCAAAAAGAGAAAAGCAGGTTTAAAATCATTACTTGGCTGAGAGTGTCGTTTTTGGTGTCTAGCACATTAGAGTATCATGTATTACCAGTCTTCACCTACATCCCGAATACTCAAGTACTTAAGTTACTATTTTATTTCAATTGAACCGGTAAGACAATATGGAGTTCCATTATAACTACAAAAAGGAGTTCTAAACTTTCTATAGTAATTTCTTATTGATGTTAGCAAACAAATGTTCTATCACAAAATCCTATCATTGTCCACTATTTATTTTTATTAGTTATTAAATATTCTTTTTTTTTCTTTTCCTTTTCAAATAAATAATCACATCAGCCAGTGATATTGAAATCAGTTACATCATTCTAAGAACAATTAGCTCCCAACTGTAATCCCAGAGCAAAGTTTCAAACTTTCACTGATTGGGTTAAATCCATACTACTATCCAAACTAAGTATTTGTATATAACTATATATACATATTCTATATACAAAAAATAAAGTGAAAAGTTCCCAAATTACCTAACATATTCTCCAAGCCAAGTGTGATAGTTCAAAACTCCATAGCGATTCATTAACCATAATAACTATTTGTTCCAAGATCATTACAACCCAAAATTAGGACACATAAATAACCCCCAAAGAATTAAGAAAAAAAATCGAGAAATACACTGATACACATACATCATAGGTATATATATATATATATATATATATATATAATAAAAAAACTACGATTGACAAGAAAAGAATCTTACACAGCTAAATTTAATTTTCCATTTCTCAAAAGAAGCATTAGTTGAATGGAACGAAGCAGAATTCGATGTTGTTCCAACTCTTGTTGATTGAGTAATTGTACTCTTGATAGTCAAAACGTTTCGCCATCTGGGTAAAACTTGCATAATAAATTAGCAGAATAACAATGTATTAGTGAATTTTTAATGGGGCATATAGATATTACAATTAAGTTGGAGATATAAGAGAAAAAGATAAAAGGAATAGAAGCGAGACAACGGAGAAAGAAATGAGTAATCAAGGGTAATAAAAACCTTTTTTTGGTTAATTGAGTTGACTCTGAATTGGATTTGGATCCATTATAAGACACTTGAGTAAAATTTAAATTTCATATTATCAGGCATCTACATTAATAGAATTTTAAATCTACTAGCCAGTCCCTGGAAATATTGCCCTTACGTTCACATATCCAAATCAAGCACCATTCAGTAAAGCACACTACAGACATTAATTTAGGGGAACAAAATAAAAATGGAATTCATAAACAAACTGGAAATAATGAAAAAAAAAAAAGGAAGCACGTAGCAAAGGAATTGAAAGGGAAAAAAACATTTTTACTCCTTGAACTTTATGACTAAAACATTTATTTTTTCTCACACTTAAAGGTGGACAAAGTTCACTTTGAACTTACCATTTAATGAACCATGGAGTACAGTCTGTTACCAAATGTTTAGCAATTAATGGGAATCTACTAATGTGCCGTTATCATGTCCTACTTTAGTAAAAGATGAAGCATAAACTGGAAAACTATACCAGCAAAACTGAAAATATATATCATTTGGCCATAAAGATAATAAAATTGCCTTGTAGAGAACTGCTTCATATGACAACTTGACATGAAATTACAAAAAACATAATCAATAAATTGGAGTTGGAAGACTAGGTCTTAAAAACATTACTAGAAGTACCACGATTACCCTGTTATATATCTATCAGTTTTTTTCATTCCTCATGAAAGACTGGTTCATCATACTCAACGTTGCTCTATACAGTAGTTGATACCAGGTATGAGAAAGCATGGTGCTAAAAGTAAGCTAGGAATTTTTTGCAATATAATTCTCAAAATTATCCACAATCTCCTTGTTCGTTCTTATTCATTGAACTTCAGTCATGCGCATGAACTTCATATTCTAAGTTCCAACGGGTGTAACACTTTTTTTTTACCAAACAGAAAATGAATGGAAGAAAACGAAAAGAAACAGCTTCAGTAGCCCTAAGAAGCTCAGAGCAAATAGGAAAAAGCAGCCAACAAGCATATTTACACGAACAAGGGAAAGAGCTGACCAGATCGACAATCTATTGAATCAAGAAGGAAAACTGACCAAACCCTACTTTCTTCAATAGAACTCCTATATGCTCAATTAATACACATAGAGATACACGACCATGTAAAATTTTTGTTCATTAGAGCTGTTCGCTAGTTTATAACAGAACAACTCTAATATCGTCTACTCATCTTGTTTGGTCAAATTCCTATATAACGTAGAGGGAAGATACCCATGAAATACATTTTGTACTACCTGAAAATGAGCAGAACACTATATAACCATTTTTACGAGTCATGAAAAAATACTCACATTAATCGTTAGGGGTGGGCATTCGGGTCGGGTCGGGTTATTCGGGTTATTCGGGTCGGGTTATTCGGGTTTTTTTCAAAAAAAATATTACCCGAACCCGACCCGAGATAACCGGGTACCCGGTTATTTCGGGTCGGGTTCGGGTCGGGTTCGGGTTTTCCATTTTTTTTTTTTTTTTTTTTTTTTGAAAAATAAATAGGAAAATTTACTTAATATATATATATATATATATATATATATATATATATATGTATATATATATATATATATATATATAGACACACAGACATACAGACATATATGTATATATATACAGACATACATATATATATATACAGAGATACAGACTATACATATATATAGACATATGTCCACTTATACGGGGTTTTACGCCCTTATATTTTTATATATGTACATATATAAATATTTTTATATATAAATATATTTTGGAATATAAATAGAATTGTTTATCTTTGGAAGAGATATATAGTTAAATGTTTTCAAAAAAAAAAATAGGGGTGAATCAATGGGGGTCAATTCCAGTTGGAAATAAAAGTGGGG